TAGCATAGGGTTATATAGGGATATATTGGGTTATATAGGGTAGTATGGGATTATAGAGGGTTATAAAGCGTTTTCTTGGGTAATATAATATAGAGTAACATTGGGTTATATTCCGTTATACTGGGACAAGGAACATGTAATGAAAACTACTAGATATTTAATAGGGAATGAAATCTTCTACCTAGAGTTCACCTAGACCCTCCAACGTAATACCTTTTTGGTAGTCCTAATAAGAATCCTAACCAAAAACTACACCAAACCCAAAAAAGACCTACATTGGAGGGTCTAAGTACGGCGCTTTAGAGCCAAAGAATGGAAAAATGTAGCAAAAAGAACAATTAAGGGTAAGTCACCACGTCCAGCGTGGCGCAAACGCGAACTGCCGAGGCCACGATGTCCTCGTCATGCGAAACTCTACCCTGGGGCTCTGATAAGCCTGAAGAAGGTAGCATTTGTGGACTCGGGGTTTCCGAACTCAATATTTGCAATAGACAAGCAGCCCCAGTAGGCAGTATTTCAAGACTGTACAGCGCAGAGCTGCTTTGATCTAGTGACTCAGAGCCCCTGGGCCCCAGGGCTAATGTTGGACTCACTTTAAGCTCTATACCCCCGCTAATTATCAATGGGGCCCACCACAGAAAAATAGGAATGAGACGTCCTGAACAAGGGTCCCACGGTACTGAGAGGTTCGGGAGGCCTGGGGATTATTGTGAAAGGGATGGTCTGGATTCGGTCCCGTATCGTTTAGGGGCCCCAAAACTAAACCAAAACACATTAAAGAGGGTCTTCCCAACAATGGCCAGACCCTGAATAAGCGGCGGCGAAAACACATTGAACAGGGTCAGCGAAGCCATAAAGCCGTATCAGAAAACCTATGTAGTCAAGAAGTCCGCGTCGGCGCCGGCGATGACGCCCTCGGAGTTCCCCATGCCTGACCGACATCATCTTGAAATCTACCCCTGTGTACCCCAGTTTAAGCACATAACCCTGTATCCCCTGATGCAGCCAGGGAATGGGGTTCAGGGTTCAGCCCCCTGAACACCTACTATAGAGACCCAGGTAAATAGCCTTTATGTGGCCACTGACATGAGAAACCCTCTGACAGTGCAGACGTCCCCCAAAACTTGTTTGGGGGGGTGTCCCTGAAGAAGTAATATTAGATGGGTAGAGCATGGAAAATTAAGAGCAAGGGATTGTCCTCGAACCCTACGGCCCTAGGCCCAAAGCCCCCAACCCTAGGTTCTATAATTATACCCTACAATAGCCCCAAACCCTATACACCCTGAGCCCCAAGCCCTGTAAACCCCGAGTACGCTAATCCTATCAACCCTCAGCCCTAAAACCCGAATCCCACAACACTAAATCGCACTACAAAACCAAAAGCTGTATAAAGCCCTAGGCTGTTTCAACGCTGAACTTCTAAAACCCCAAAACCTAAATCACCAAATCCCAACACCATGTGGTAGCCCAAAATAGGGGGACCCCAGTATATCCCCCAATTTGCTATAGTCCTTATAGTGCGACCCCCCAAAATGGTACCCCTAATCTTGGGAAACTCCCAGAATTGAGGGCGATGATATCCCCGTTTAAACTACTGCTGAGATGCTGGTGTCCGGGTCATAGCAGATACGGGCCCCGCTGCGGTCCCGTAGCGCGCCACCACATGCCTGAGAAACACATCGATTGGGGCTTAGGGTTTAAGGTTTCAGGTCTGGGGTTTGTAGTTTAGGGTGCAGGTTTGGGGGCTTAGGTTTGGATTTGAAGTTTAGTGCTTGGGGTTTAACACCCAAGCCCCCTAGGCAGTAAATGCTAAATCATACCATAATTTCTTAGCCTCTGCCCTGTAGCCGTCCAACAATCAATTCAAGCTGTCTGTCGAGGGCTTACAAAGGGTGAAAGCTTGTAGTATTCGCATCCTCCGCACTACCACACCACGAAAACCCTCCATGATCAATCCCAACTTCCATGTGATGTCCATTGGATTCTCCATGTTCTGCGGGGCCCCACAGCCCCAAACCCTAAAATCTAAAACCAAACCATAAACCCTAAACCCTATAGAATTCAACGCCAAAAGCAAAACGAAATCTGAGCGTCATGAAAACCAAAACATGTACGAAAAAAAAGACTTCAAAACCACCAAAACCCCAATATACGCCCAGTCATACAGGAATAGTTTCCATGGTCTTTTCCATTATTCCCATATAACCCCAATATATACCCTATAATCCCTGTTTATACTCCCTATATAGGCCCTGTTATCCCTATAGTTTCTATTTTCTGTCCATTATCCCTATGTAACCCAACATATACCCTTCTTTAGTAAAGCCTTCAGAACCCTAAACCTTAAACCCTAAACCCTAAACCCTCAAACCTTAAACCCTAAACCCTAAACCGGTTTTGCAGGCCTCCAGCATGGCCTCCGCAGCGCAGGTGTCCCAGCGCGAGGTGCCAGGCCTGGGGAAAAGCCACAGGTCCGCGGCGCCGTCCACCACCCGGGCCACCTGGGGGTTTGGGGTTTTAGGACTTGGGGTTTAGGGCCTTAGGGCTTTTAGGGTTTAGGGTTTTAGGGTTTGGGTGCGTAGGGTTTTAGTTTTTAGGGTTTAGGGTTTTAGGATTTAGGGTTTAGGGTTTTAGGGCTTAGGGTTTACGGTCTTAGGGTTTTAGGGTTTCGGGTTTTAGAGTTTTAGGTTTTTGGGGTGTGGGGTTTAGGTTTTTAGGGTTTAGGGTTTTAGGATTTAGGGTTTAGGGTTTAGGGTCTTAGGGCTAAGGGTTTAGAGTTTTGTTGGGAGGAAGGATTCGGGATTGGGTTTTAGGGGAGTGTGAGTTGTCATTTGAGTGGTGGTTGAACCCAGCAGTAAGATTCTATTTTTCATAACTATACCTCGAAGCAGGCTATAATCTTACTCTATATCGGGGTCTATAGTATCCCCAACTAAAAATTAATCAGTTGGTGGTTAGTGGCTTTGGGAAGTTGAGGTTTTAGGCTTCAGGCAAGGGATGTCAGGGGAGGAGTAGTAGAAGAAGTAGAAGAAGAAGTAGTAGAAGCAGAAGAAGAAGTAGCAGTAGTAGTAGTAGCAGCAGCAGCAGCAGTCGTCGCCGTCGCCGTCGCCGTCGCCGTCGCCGTCGCCGTCGCCGTCGCCGTCGCCGTCGCCGTCGCCGCCGTCGTGGTCGTGGTCGTGGTCGTGGTCGTGGTCGTGGTGGTGGTGGCGGTGGCGGTGGCGGTGGCGGTGGGCGGTGGCGGTGGTGGCGGTGG